AGAGAGAGAGAGAGAGAGAGAGAGAGAGAGAGAGAGAGAGAGAGAGAGAGAGAGAGAGAGAGAGAGAGAGAGAAAGAGAGAGAGAGAGAGAGGAAGAGAGGGAGAGGGGAAGAGACGAAAAAAAAGAAACAAGTAGATAGAGAGAAAGAGAGAGAGACAAAGCAAATCCAAGTCGACATTAAAAAAAGAGAAAAGTGCATATTGCACTTCATCGGCGCCAATTTAAATTCTGAGATTACGAAATAATCCGTCCCACCCTACGGCAAAAGCCTACGACAAAAAAAAAAAAAAAATGTCAATGTCCACAGGACGACTCATCCACCCGATTGGATGACCACCCACTTCCCTGGCCAGCACGGCCAATCAGAAACCGGCACGTCCACGACGGCGCGCTCACGGTTACAACGACGATGGAAAGGCTCACACTTTCACGCAGTCCACATCCATGGAAACGACAATGCGCACAACAGAGGCGACACGAGCTCTAATACTCACGAATGGCCTTCGCTATCTCCAACAAAGCATGGCACATCAGTTTGCTGACTTCGTCTAACGCTGCGTAGTGCTTTTTCTGCACTTCAACCTCCGCTTCCAACGCCTCACACTGCCGGACTTGGATGGAGCACTGCCACTTGCTTGCGCTCTCCATCGTCGACGCCATTAGCGCCCCGTGCTTCTTCATGCATTTTGTCATCGCTTCGAAAGTTTGCTGCCTCGTGCTCTTACTCTTGCCGAAACCGTCGGGGCTACCAGTCATTTGAGAAGAACCGTTCGTCGAGCCGTCATCGTTGTCGTCGTGCCCTGCACCATCATCCCCATCACCCACAGATTCAGGATCCGCAGAAGAGGCGGACGACAGACGCACACCACCCGAAGCACCTGTGTTGGCCACGTTCTTGGGGTTTATGGTGTGGTTCTTGGCGGTCGACCCCACTATCTCGTCGTAAACCGCACGATCCATGTTGAAATTGAAGCCCTTGGACGTCCTCTCCTTCCCAGAGAATTGGAAGAAGTCCTGTTTCCCGGACAAGCCTTGGAACTGATGCACCTTCTTGAACTGTTGCATCAAATTGTCCCACTTCTTCCCGTACTTATCTGCATCTCTGTCGACGCCCACCTTCTTCAACCTTTGCGCCACATCTAACCACTTCCATTCTTGCGGCTTTATCCGAGCGTAGGCGTGACCCATCCCCTGCCGATGTGCATCCTGGTCACGTTTAGCCCCTATGAGGGCTATAATGTCGTCAACGGACCAGAAGTGACAACCTCCTTCCACATCACCGTCACCTTCGGCATCGCTCCGCTTCCCCGCCGCTTTTTTCCCCCGACGACCATTTCGGGCAGACGCCTTCGTCTTCCCGCCCCTGCCTCCCATGCTGTCTTTCCTGAACGACGACACGTAGCTTTCGTCCTCCTCCCCACCTTCTCTTGTTCGCGTGATCGTCTACGTCCAGAACTGGTGCCTCCTTTTCGTTTTTGTGTTTCCCCACACACAGTCGCTGCACTCCACGAGTTATGGATTCTTCGCACCCCGACTGGAGCCCCCGTCGGTGTTCTGCCCACGCCTCCCTCCCGTCTCGGTCATCACCAATATCGGGGAAGCCAGAATTCGTCTCCCCACATTCGCCACGACGGCGGGCTGCATTCGAGCCAGCGGACAGGGGAGACGGAGACTGCATCCACTAGGGGCGAGCGGAGACACCCCTCGACACACACGGCGGCCGGAATTGCTGCCCCGGAGGATCCCTGTAGCTCCTCGATGTCTCCCGAACCGTCGCTGGAGACTTCGATGAGCGCACAACCGCCGTCACTCGTCCGCCGTCGTCGTCGAGGTGGGGGTTAACGACGACCGTTTGCGAGGTGGCCGACGACTTCCCACTACACAGCCCGAACGACAGATTCACGCCACCATCACCTTCGTCACCGCTGAGCCCCTGCTGGAGGAGTTCAGTGTACGACTGCTGACACGCGCCGTCTCGGCTTCCGCATAGCTGTGTAGCCGCCCACTCCTAGGTGGAACCGCTTCCCAGCGAAACGGTCCGTGACCATCTGTCATCCGCCTCCTCGTTAGACGTATCCGACAGAGGTTGCAAGTGCGGTGGTAGGTGCGCGTACCCAGACGGTCTATGTGTCTATTCAACATGCAATGGAAAAGTTTCAACGTCGTTGTACCCGTTGAATAGCCCCCGGGGGCCCGTTCAATCCTCATTGAATAGTACAACGGGCCCTCCCCGTTGAGTATTGTTCAACGGGGAGGGCGCATTGGGCCTCGGACACGTCGCTGGAAGCGCCGAGAGCAAAATACAATTGTCATCTCATTGAATCTCGTTGAATCCCGTTGAATCCCCGTTGAATCCTCGTTGAATCCCGCTGAATCCCGTTGAATCCCCGTTGAATCCCGTTGAATCCCGTTGGAAAAAAAAAAAAATGGGCGTCAAGGTTGCTTTTTTTTTTTCTTTTTTTTTTTTGTTAATTGCAAGGAAAATGAGCAATAGCGAGATGATAATATTCAGATTTGCGCAATCACATTGAGAGCCAGATCGTATCAAAGTGTTCAGAAAGCAACATTGCACCAATATAACACTAATGGAGAATTGTAGGCTTTGTAGCACTAAAAACCAATGTCAATGAGAGTTTTCTCTCGCCACTACCAACATATGTATCCAGTCCCTATCTCCCTACTTGGCACTCGGCGCCCAGCCGACTCCATACACAGCTACTACTAGCCTACTAATTGACAATGCAACTGTTAACGTCAGCAGCCTCCGAAGTACTTGAAGATGTTGCTCATGCAGACCATCGCCAATATTAGGTTGAGCAACCTCGAGGTAATACATGGCATTGCCTAGTAGTATATTAAAGGGCAGTTCGTCACTGATGAGGAATAAAATTTTATATCTCGCTTCCCCTCCTCCATAAGAGAAGGAACAAACTACATCCTTGACATAGTCTTTAACTACCATCTGGTGCTTGTTGGCTAACATAGAAGCTACAATTCTTCTAAGCCGCTGTACTTGGTCCCCTAAGCGCAGTTTACCCACACAAGCAGGAGTGATGAAGTTGTGCAGAGCCTATGTCTACGAAGGCGCCAACTTTGCGGCCACCTACATCAACCTCTACCCCGAATGTTCACCCTTTGGACCTCTACTGATCATCACTCAAGAGTCTCTGGGGTCCTTCCCTAGGACCCTGACCACTCAGTTTCTAACTCTTCTCGGGCCTCAGCCACATCTCTCGAACAGAGTGTCGGTGGGTCTGAATGTGTCTACGGGGCGATACGTGGGTCACTAGCCCTGGTCAACGCCTGAAGTGGGGAAGGCAACGTTACCACTTCAGCACGAGTAAGAGCAACCAAAACTCCTACTGGCATGAGGTGTTTCCCTGTGAAGTGCTCGCAGAAGCACCGCCAGGGTTCAAAGATAGTCCCACCAATGTTGGAGAGGCTACCCCCGTTAGGACTTTCTTACCTCGGCACGTTCTGGATGTGTGGTCATAGTTGCTACAGTTCATACACATACCCCTAGCAACTCGATTCATCCACACCTCATACTCTAAACCAAATTTCACCCATGCAAGCGTCCCTTAGTCGCCCTAACCCGTAGACCGGCCTACCTTTTTTTTCCCGGTCCCACTAGCCTTTTTTTTTACGGGTGTCATGGCTTCCCCTTCCGAAGTCTCGCTGGCCCGATCAAGCTCTGTCTCCTGCCTAGGGTTTGGGAAGTCGTCAATTTCTGTCGCCTGGCCATCATGGTCGACAAACATTAGTTGCCCTTTCTTTTTCCAGTCCTAGGGGAGTCTCTTCTTCCTACCATCTTCCTGACTCTGATGCGCGGACCCCAACTTTGCCTCTATATCTAGGGCCTTCTTGCTGAGAGAAGTGAAGTTGTATTGTTCGACATAGGCCTCATCTACCAGCTTTGTCCTAACCTCCGAAGGCAAACATCGTAGGTAATCCGTGAGGAGTATCTGCTGGTCATAGCGCACACCAGGTACCACGAGCAGACGTTCTACGGTATCCGTGAGCTCACGAACATTCTTGTACCTTCTGGCACAAAGATTGTTGATCGCGTATGTGGCATTTTGAGCCCCTTGAGGGTCATGCCACCTATTATACACGGACCGTACGAAGTCTTCCAATGTCGGGGTCTGGGCCCAGGCATCGAAGTTCTGACCGTAGCCCTGCTGCTGCACTAGGCCATTCAACCAGCGGACTGCTAACCCTTCTAAAAAGGAAGCAGCCACTACAACTTCTTGCTCCGGCCTGGTGAGCTTGTGCCTCACATAGGTAGGCACCATCCTCACCCAGGTATCCACGTCCTCATCCTTCTTCGTGACGTCAGAGAAGGGCTTAGAACTCAGCAAGGGTATTTTGGGCATCCACTGCATAGGCTGCATTGGCCCAGGAAATTGCTGCACTGGTTGGATAGCAACCGAAATAGGTTGCTGCACACTAACCTGGGCCTGACTTGACAGTGGGATTGTAGTAACCACTGTCGTGGATGTTACGGTAGAAGTTTTGAGGACCGGACCGCTAACTAATGGCTGACTACTCGAAGGAGGAATACCTAACATAGGAGAGAAGGATGGCCCGATTAGCGACGGCATCCCTGAGGGGCCCGCAACCGAAGGGGGAGCCACAGCATACTGAATTTGCCTCATCATAGGACGAGGAGCCTGCAGTACAGCCATAATTTATTTTTGGTCTGCCACTAGTTCAGCCAACACTTCCTGCTGAACGACTTGCGTTTCAGCCACGCAAAGGAGTGAGTTACGCAGCGCTGGCATCGAAGGGTCAAGTGTTGACTCGTCTAATGCTTATAATCTGCCTAGCTCCTGTCTCCTACTTCTTAGTCTACTTTTTCTCAAAATAACTCGCTGTCTCCTCTCCGCTGCCTCTCTCAACTGCCGCTGCAACTCATCATGAAGTTCCTCTGCCCAAAGGATCTCATAATCCTCTGGTGTGAGTGACATCTGCTGGCTGACTTGTGAGCCAACAGATTAACGAACAAAACTCTGAGAGATACCATGACTGACACCTTACGAAGAGGCCTGAGACAAGGCCTGTGACACTGAAGAAGAGGTAGTCATCGCAACCTCAACCTGAACTCTAGCGTCCTCTAGTCTTTTTGTTGCAAGTGTCCGTTCAATGTTGATTGCCGCTAACCTAGCCCTCTCTAATGTCGTCCTTTCCCTGGCTTCCCTTCGCAGCCGCCTTTCCTCTCCCTGGCCTAACTCCAAGAAGGTAATCGGTTGACTGAGTGCAGATCTACGGATCACTCTAAGATGTTCCACTACTCGTTCTTCCTCCTCACTACCGCCTGCATCACTCATGAGCCACAATGTGTGTGATCTAAACTAGATTCTACACTGAACCCTACCTCAGCCTGACACACAACCGGGTATGATCAAACACCTAATTCCGGTAGTCAAATAGTAACCAACAATCAATATCAGGTCCTACAGGTGAGTTTAAATTTTATTTTTAGATTACTTTTACACAGATTGCAATGTAGTAAGGAAAGAGATAACCTATCTGCAGTTGTCTGTCAGTTGTTAAAAAGTCCGTAACAACTAAATAATCAGAAATAAAAATAACCTACCTGTTGAGATGCATGCTGGATGACAGTTTGTCTAATTAATGTCATCGCGAACAGTTACCGGAATGCCCCCCTCTCCCTGTATCCTTTTTGAGTTGTCACTTTGTGTCAATGCCCTGAGCATCTGGTTGAGCAGCATGTCTAAAGGTGTGCAATCCGGTCCACCTCTGTGCCTCAAGTCAATGTCGAACCTGCCAGCTTCTGCACTTTATTTATCCTCGCATGCAACGAGCCTTACACCCGGTTTGATATGGCTGATCAGGAGGCATTCGACGAGATCCCCTGTAACTCCTCATGAATTGTTTAACGTCGCAGACAGGACGACGATCACAGCCAGAATCAACACCGATTCCCCGCCAGAAATATTTAAAGACGGTCTGGTAAGCGTATGTTCAAAGGGCTGGCATGCCCTGCATGACCTCTATTGCGGAGCAGCAGAACCAAGGACTTGCGGCAAAGCATGCGTGTACTAATCCCAACGGGTTGGCATGGTGACCATGACCCGAGTGCTTCGTTCAGGGCCCTTCAGAGGCATCGCCCGTCTCCCACCAGCTTGCTGCCCAAGAAGAATGTCGACTCTCAAGATTGAGCGCTCGCGACACCTCACATTGAGAGGACTTTCAAGACAGAACTCACTTCCTCACGGTAAGAAGTAATGAAGAGGGTAGATAAGGAAGAGAGCAACGTACCTCATAATGCTGCCCAACCACAGATTTCTCACCGGCAACCTGATGTGCATTTATGATGACTGGTCTTTGCCTCGGCACAACCGACAGCAGAATGCAGTTCCACCTCGGTTTAAATGCCACATCAGCGAGCTCTCAT